TGTCATGGACTGATATTTTTGGTCTATACCCCATTCAATGAGACAAGGTCAGTGATCATGTGCTTGATGTCATGGCAATCCAAACTGCCTCTAAATGCTCCCTTTCAACTTCAGCACTTATTTCATCAAAGACTAGAACCAAACAGTTCCTGGACTGGGCTTGTCCATGGACAACAATGTGAGTCACACTGAGCTAGATCAAAAGATTTTATTATATCATGAAGACACTGTGCAGTAATTGAAGTATATATATATATATTTTACTTTCCTCTTTTTAAATCACAGTTCTACTAGATAATTTACAATCCTAAGAGAAAGGTACTATTTTCTCCCCGTTTTCTGGATTAGGAAAATCTGGCTTATTAAGGTCAAAAAACTTTATTATAATGGTACACTGAGAAAAAAATATTAGCAACTCACACCACAGGCAAGAATTAATTTCCCTAAAACAGTAAAAAGCTCCTAGGAATCAAAAGCTCAATAGAAAAATGGGCAAAGAATATAAATAGACTGTTCACAGAAAAGTAATAGCCTTTACTTATATGAAACATGCTTAACTTTACCAATAATAAGATATGCAAATTTAAACTCTACTGAGAAACCATTGCCTAGAAGACTAGCAAAAATCCAAAAGCTTAACAAGTCACTCTATTGGTGCGTCCGGGAAGAAAAAAGTACCCTCATGACGTTACTAGTAAGAGTATACGTTGGTGATGGTACTGGCACAAAAACAGAAATATAGATCAATGGAACAGGATAGAAAGCCCAGAGATAAACCCACACACATATGGCCACCTTATCTTTGATAAAGGAGGCAAGAGTATACAATGGAGAAAAGACAGCCTCTTCAAAAAGTGGTGCTCGGAAAACTGGACAGCTACATGTAAAAGAATGAAATTAGAACAGTTCCTAACACCATACACAAAAATAAACTCAAAATGGATTAAAGACCTAAATGTAAGGCCAGACACTATAAAACTCTTAGAGGAAAACAAAGGCAGAACACTCTATGACATAAATCACAGCAAGATCCTTTTTGACCCACTTCCTAGAGAAATGGAAATAAAAACAAAAATAAACAAATGGGACCTAATGAAACTTAAAAGCTTTTGCACAGCAAAGGAAACCATAAATAAGACAAAAAGACAACCCTCAGAATGGGAGAGAATATTTGCAAATGAAGCAACTGACAAAGGATTAATCTACAAAATATACAAGCAGCTCATGCAGCTCAATATCAAAAAAACAAACAACCCAATCCAAAAATGGGCAGAAAACCTAAATAGACATTTCTCCAAAGAAGATATACAGGTTGCCAACAAACACATGAAAGGATTCTCAACATCACTAATCATTAGAGAAATGCAAAGCAAAACTACAATGAGGTATCACCTCACACCAGTCAGAATGGCCATCATCAAAAAATCTACAAACAATAAATGCTGGAGAGGGTGTGGAGAAAAGGGAACCCTCTTGCACTGTTGGTGGGAATGCAAATTGATACAGCCACTATGGAGAATAGTACGGAGGTTCGTTAAAAAACTAAAAATAGAACTACCATATGACCCAGCAATCCCACTACTGGGCATATACCCTGAGAAAACCATAATTCAAAAAGAGTCATGCATCCCAATGTTCATTGCAGCTCTATTTACAATAGCCAGGACATGGAAGCAACCTAAGTGTCCGTCAACAATGAATGGATAAAGAAGATGTGGCACATATATATAATGGAATATTACTCAGCCATAAAAAGAAATGAAATTGAGTTATTTGTAGTGAGCTGGATGGATCTAGAGTCTGTCATACAGAGTGAAGTAAGTCAGAAAGAGAAAAACAAATACCGAATGCTAACATATTCACTTTGAATGCTAACTGATTCACCTTGTTATACAGCAGAAACTAACACAACATTGTAAAGCAATTATACTCCAATAAAGATGTTTAAAAAAAAAAAGAGTATATGTTGGTGGAAGGCAGATACCCTTTAGAATAATCATTAACGCTTTTCACAAATATCCTTCCCTATCTATTTCAAGGTATACTGTACCATTTGCTTGAAGTTAGACGTGGTTATGTAATTTGCTTTAGCCAGGGAAATGTGAGCAAAAGTGACATACTGTGTCTTGGGGCAGAAGTTTTAAGAGCGAGAATGCAATCTCCTATGTTCTCTCTCATGTGTTATTTTTTCTTTCCCTCTACCACCAACATTGGCAATGGTCTAGAATCTGGCTGATCCCTTAGCCTGGGTTGCAGAGAAGATAACTTGAAGCAGAACTCCTCAACATACAGGATGATAAGCAGCATGAGCAAAATAAACCTTTGTTGTTTTAAGCCACTGATAAATGGTGAGCAGTATTTACTAAAATTACAAATGCATATCCCCTCAGATATACCTGCACACAGCAAAATGACATACATAAAAGGTAATCATTTGCAACATGGTTTATTACAGCAAATGACCAGAAACAACCAAATGAACATCAACAGAAGACTAGTTAAATACTTGCAGTACATTCATACAGTGAAATATTATGCACCTGTTTAAAAAGAAAAACATTCTCTTAGAGCTAATATGGAAGAATCTCCAAGTGAAAAAGCAAGATGTTCCCAGTGTGTATAGTATGCCATCTTTTTGTTTCTAAAAAAAGGGGGGGATTAGAAAATATGTTCATATTTACTTACACCTATAAGGAAATTCTATAATAATAAGAAACAAAAATTATCTTAGGGCAGATAGGTGGAACTTCCAATTACTCAGAAAAAAGAAAATTCTTGGTGCCATACTTAACTTCTTACTGTCTCGCAACCTCAATCAATCTGTCAGCAAATCTCATCTTAAGTATAAATGGTATGCTTCTGCCTCTATCTTAAAGTGCTATCAGATCCGTCTTTAAACTGGCTTATCTTCCTCCTCTTGGGCACATCTAATCAACTTCCAGTTACATGACCTGTGTTAAGAATATATTTGCTGTTGTTCTGGTATTCAATTAAGTTGCAATGGTTTTTGGTTACTCTTAAATAAACCATGCTTTTCTCTAAATGATCCCAAGCTTTGGCAACTGTTTTTAGCTATTCTTTTTGAGAGACTCTGAGCTGCCTCTTAAAAAGTCATAACAAACTGCTCCAATATATTCTTGTTTTTCTCACTCAGAACTTTTCTTCTACATGGAAGTTATTTTACTTTCATTTATTATAAGAATTATAAGACCCTTACGCTGAAAAATTAGAAATAAAAAATTGATGGGAAATCTCTTCCTTATAGTAGTATGCCAACTAATGAATGTAGAAAGGATAATGGAAATAGAAAGATACCATTTGGCAACCACCGTTATTGGTGGTAGATTCAGACAGGAGTCATACATGGATACTTAGCCTGTACATGGAGGTTTGATGAGGAACAAGACACTGGCATGGTCTCAGAGTATTGTACCACAGAACACTTACCAATTACAAAAGGAAAAATGGTGTCGCAACAGTAGAGAAACCTGGCTGATACAAACATAACTAGGTGATTTTTTTTTTGGCTATGCCATGTGGCATGCGGGATCTTAGTTCCCCGACCAGGGATCAAATCAGTGCCCCCTGCATTGGGAGCATGAAGTTTTAACCACTGGACTGCCAGGGAAGTTCCTTAACTAGGTGATTAAAGTTAACATTACAGGGGGTAAGACAGGTTGACAACATGTACTTTCTGATGCAGTTCACTAAAATGAGTTCAACATCATTTTTGTGTAATCCCTGCCAAGAAAGTATGGCCTGAGTCTGGACATGAGGAAACACTGGATGGACCCAAAATGAAGAATATGTTACCAAATGAAAGGCCTGTACTATCTATTGAAGATGCAAAAGACTGAGGAACTGTTCCGGATTAAGGGAGATTAAGAGACATGACTGCTAAATGCAACATGTCAGCCTGGATTGTATCCTGGACCAGAAAAGAGACATTGTTGAGACAGTTGGCAAAATTTGCATGGGGACTTGATGAAAGTATTGTCATTGTTGATTTCTTGATTTGGATAGTTATATTGTGGTTATACTGGAGAATAGCCTTGTTCTTGGAAAATACAAACAGGAGAACATCATGCCTCCAACCTCCTCTCAAATGGTTCAGAAAAAAGATTGATCATAACGGATGGAGGGCAATGAAGCAAAAATGTTGTAAAATGTCAACAACGGAGGCATCTTGGTGAGGAGGATATGGGAGTTCTTTACTATTTTGGCAACTTTTTTCTAAGTTTGAAATTATTTCAAAATAAATTACTTTTTAAGTGTGTTTACACATGTGAACATGCTTGCATTTTTAGTATCTGCCAGGTATTATACTACGGACAGCCACCTGTCATCATTTAAAAATCTCCTTTCACTAACACAACATTGTAAAGCAATTATCCTCCAATAAAGATGTTAAAATAAATAAATAAATAAAATAAAAACCTCCTTTCTGCCTGAAAAGTGACTACTGACACACAGATAAGGACACTTCAAACTTGCAATGCTGCAAATGAAAAATATTTCTATTTTTACTTTTTTACACTGTTTTAGATACTAATGTGTTGATGTTTGGGGCCTTAAATTAGGGGAGCCCGTAGAAACTTCTGAACACTAAATTTCTGAGTAAAATTTCTGGCCCTGTAAAGGTCAGCCAGTGGTACTTGAACTGGCTTGCCAAGGGAAACAACTAATCCTAAGAGGCCCTGAAATAGTCTTCTATCCTAAACTCAAAATAAAATGGCCTCACAGGTGATAATGGTACTGAAAATAGCATTTAATTTTACTTTCAGGCTCTTAACCCACTAGGTCTACTTGATTTCCATTAATCAGCATAGAGGGAAACCAATGGCTACCTGCCCATCTCTTAAGGCTCTAGCTTACTTGTCATGCATTCCCAGAAGCACACTCTAAGATGACTAATCATTGACTGCTTCTTCAGCACCATATGTCTCCCAATTTCAAAGGAAAAACTGTCCCAACTAGAACCAGAACAACAGATTTCCTACCTCCTGCAGCTGGAGTCGAACCTTGGTAACTGCTCGGATCCAGTGCGCTCTGGCTTGGGTAAATGGCGAAGATGCACTCTCCTCGGGAACACTTGTAACAGAGAAAAGAATGTTCCTTAAAAATCAGCCCAGGCCACAAGATGACAGTGCTCAAGGCAAAACTGCCAAATACCTAAAATTAAAAGGTTTGTTGTATTCATGCCTATACTTATCTAGTGATTCAAGCCACTAAAACAGCATAGTCCTGAATATCCAATGTGAAAAAAATTCCTAAAATGACAAGTCCTTTTAGCTTTTCATCTGTTCCCTCTCTTTCTTCCCACTTTTCCACTCACCTGATGAGGCAGCTCATTGGGACAGTCAGGGATCAGGATACCAGAAGCATTGGCAAGGGCCCTAAGTCAATGACTAACATAGAAACCATGCAGAGAGGTGTAGAGTAACCCTCTCCCCCTACCTCTCAAGACCACCAGTCTCCCTTGAGGGTTCTACATAGCATCCTTAGGGCAGAATTTTGTTCCTGCAAAGCATTCCTGCTCCACTAAGCATTTTGGAAGGCTTTCCAATTCCTAGACTACATCAAAGTGCTAAGAAAAAAGGCAGAGCCCTTGTCCTGCTGTGATCTTGTTCCTTGAGCTGCCTCAGGACCACCCTCAGTGAAGGGAACAATAAATATAACAAAGTAGCTTTGAGACAGAAACAATACGCTGTATTAGAACAAATCATCATCATCTTAACTGTGGAATAGTGGTTAATTCTTGGTGATGATGCTTCTCCTCTCTCTCACTGGGGTCTACTGACAAGGCAGTAAAAAAGGACCCACCATCTAGACACATAAAATATATGCTAGGCTCTGATGCCACCTAACTGGTTCAATTGTTTTAAAACATTTGTGGGCACTTCTGAAACTGGCCTGGACGTCACTTGCACAGCTAGGATCTGGGAGGACAGAGCCATTAGAGAAGGCCAGGCACCTTCTACTGCTCGACCAAAAACTCTACCCAGACAACAGTATCTTTAAAGTCCAAGGTCGACAAAGAGCTATCTTTCAGTGGGTCATCAATCCAGTAAAAAAGCTGGTCCAGAACTCAGTCTCCCTGATGTCTTGTCTACTAGATGAGCCACCAGAGATGATTAAAAATCAGGAAAACAAACAGAAAATAAGTTTCTACCTTCAAGTGGTGGAGTAGAGGCATCAACCATTCTCTAACTTTTACCACATAATCAGCATTCACTGCTCTGATCTTCCCATGACCTTGAAATTTGAGAATTTAAGTCACACCTAGCCCTTATCACTCTACCCCAGTGGTTTTCAACTAGGGACAGTTTTGCCCCTCAGGAGAAATCTGACAATATCTGGAGACATTTTTGGTTGTCACACTGAGAGTTGCTCCAGGCATCTAGTGTGCAGAGGCTAAGGATGCTACTAAAATCCTACAATGCATACAACAGCTCCCCGTAACAAAGCATTATCTGGCTAAAAATGTCAACAGTGCTAAGAATGAGAAACCCTGCTCTGCCCCAACCTATCAGTAGCTCACTGACCAACTTAGCTCAATAAGAACAATACTCAAACTCTGTACTAAGCCTCATTATGTGACTGTTAAAAGGACAAGTTTAAAATTTTTCTCCTTATGGGTACCAACTGCCAGACATACTGCTAGGCCCCAGGGAGACAGAAGGGTGGGTTAGATCTGGCTTCTAGACCAATTCTTTAACTCTTTCCCAGTTTTGTCAGCCAGGGAAAAAACAAAACAAAAGAAAAAAATAATGTTCACAAAAGAAATTTAAACATTAATCGGGTGGGAAGCCTATTTCATTCAAAGCATCTCCTCTGAATGAAATGACCTGCAAGGCTCAGGTCAGTTCCAGACTCAAAGGCTGTCATATGTGGGGTCAACTAGTGAGCCAAGAACTGCAGACTCTAGAAGGCCTGGTACACTGCAGTTAAAATGTTCTTCAGAGATCCTCAAAATACATTGGAAATTACACCAAAAAGCAAAGTAAGCAGTGCAGAGCTAAGCCTCAGTATCCTGATCACAACCACACCCAGCTGCAGGGAAACAAACAAAAAGCAACTGCATTCTGTTCAACAATACCATAGGGCAGGTACTGAGGAAACCATGTGAGCTCCTCAAGGTAGCCATCACCTACCTCTCCTGGGGGCCTAGGATGTGGTCTCTGTGTAGCATCAGATCTGGGGGTGGAGGGGTTGTAGCATCTTCTTTCGTCTCCTTGGGTTCACATGCTCCTCCCTTCTCCTCTTCACGTGCCACCTCCAAGGCTTTCTCTTGTTCTCCAAAACCTACTTGGCTGTCTCTGGAGAAGCTGCCAGAGCTGTGGCAGGAATGAATCAAGTTCCTCTCCCGGCGGTCATCATCTTGTTCGTGACACTGGTCTAGTTCACTCAGCTGAGAGCTTCCTTGACTCACGTTACAGGAGGAGCCATACCTACTACTGCTGGTGGGGCTGTGAGAATGAGAGGAAGACACATCAGTAAATACATACAAACTAAGGATCAGAACAAAGTAATGGATAAATCCAGGAAATAATGATTCTATCAGTGGCAAGGATCACAAACAGGAGGTTCCTGGGAAGAGAGGACCAAAGTTCACAATCTAGAAGAACTAGTCTCTGTTCAGCAAAATCACAACAGGAAAAATAACACAACATGCTGGGTTCTCCAATAGCACTTAACCTCAACCCTGCAGTTGACTTTGAAGAATTCTTTATCTTAACATGCTATTCTGTAAGTAGGGTTAAGAATTATTAAAATAGTCTGTTTATGCCTAAAATTCTCTACTCGGACTTCTTAAAAAACTTGTCCAGTGGCTGTGATTAAAGTTTTCTAATTTCCACAGAATAAAATAGATGGATGAACTCTACTCCCTTTTTCTACTACCTATTAAATTGAGATCCCCTTTTCTTCCTCTCCAATTGTAAATGTAAATGTGTGTTCCTCAGAATGAGCAAAGGAGAGTGAACATGTTCCTTCAATTATCTCTCAGCCATCTGTATGAGGTAATGGAAGCCACTGGGAAATGGAGGCTAGGACCAAGAAATTCCTCAGGGGAATGGTCTCATCAACATGGATGTTACAGTGGTATCCCTGGCAGCACAGCGAATGTCCCAAAGATGAACCTGCCCACCTATAACTGAGTTGCTCTCAGGACATGGCTCAGTTTCGGGCAAAGTGGACACAGTCCAACTCCAAGATCTGAGTCAGGGCCATATTAATGCATTTCTGTACCTGAAGAGAGGCCAGCCTAACCCTCTCTCAACCACCTGAATTCCCATACCCGGAAAGGAAATTTGTTCCCCTGGTATAAGAGGCAGCAGCTATAGCAAATGTGGCAGTGAATCGTGACCAGAAAGAATACTATTCAAAGTTACTCCCTTAAGCCGTATACTGAATTTGGGGGATTCAGTCCTATTCAAAATGGAGGGACTTGGGGATGATCTATCAATATAAGATCTATCCTAGCCCATTTGGATAGTTCCATCCCAAGTCAGAGGCCCTTCGTTTTACTTCTGGTATTCTGCTGGAAAGCCTCTGTGCAAAAGGACAAGGAATTTCCTTGCCAAAGAGTCAAGCTTTAACTAAAGGGCTTATGTTTACTCTTGGCCAAATGAAGATAAATCATTATTGTTTTCCAGTGATATTTTCCCTATGATTCCTCCCAATTATCTGGTATTTCCAGGCTGATTTCTGATTCTTCATCCCATGCAGGATAGGTACCAAGCCACTGTTCTGAGTAGTTCCCAGCACACATATACACATGAACACGTATGAGCACATACTCACATAACCTCCAAAGTACTTGACCAGCCTCTTTGGACTGGTTTGGGCCAGCATTCAAGGCAGCATTCTTAAAATGCCCTGTATGGTGCTTCTTCTTAGGGGAAATAATAGTATCCTTTGCAGGTGGACCCTGCACAATGATCCAGACTGAATAACTACAGCAAACGATAGCCCTAAGCTCCTGTGAGACTGTACTGAAAGCACTTATCAGACACCAGTCTCACGGGTAGTAAAATGCAGAGACTGGAAGAAGCTGTGCAAATCCATACGGAATATATATAGTATAGATTATTCCAAGCCATGCTTTGCATTTTGTATTTTACTTAATACCCTCATTGCCACTGGAGAAAGCATCTTAGAAGACTTGGAAAAGCAAAGCAAAGTAGGTCTCTCCTAGCTATTACAGATATAAGTGCCAAAGGCCCAAGGAAGCATTCTAGCCTATCATGTGGTTGTAATTAATATATGCCACTCAGTGACTTGCTGCCTCTTCTTGCCCTCCCTTCTCCATTCTGCATTATTCAAGGCAGAGCAAACCAGAGTGAGTAAATCTCACGACCTAGTCTTCCCTTTAAGCAGGAAGCTCCTTGTTCCAATAAATGAATTACATTTGGCAGAGAAGAGAAGATGACAATATCCACCTATTATTTCTTCTTACTTAACCCCTAATTAACATGAAGCTCAGGTGCTGGGAAAGACACAGGAAGGATAAAAAGCAGGCTATGATTAAGCTACCACTAAGTCACTGCATCATAAATGGTCAATTCTTTAAAATCATTTATGATGCTTTAGTTGAGAACAGGCCTTTTGCTGGTCTTTGGCTCCTTGATGTCATGTAGAGCAACTGGCTGCTGTACATTTGAATCAGAGTCAATGCTAGCAGGCGCTGTCTCCTCTTCATGTGTTTCTGGCTGGTGAAGTAGCTCAGAGACAGTGCAGTGTTCTTCCTCATGACTCTCTGAAGGACAGGTGGGGTCAGAGAGGTTATCTTTGGTACCCCCGTGTTCTCCAGATGCTGGGATTTCCTGATGGTTTTCCACTTCTCCAGGCCCTGAAAGCTCATGAGCACATATACTTGGCCTGGTCTCCAGCTGCCCAGAGGTCCCAGAGGGCTGAGTCAAAACCTTAGCTGGCTCAGCACTGGCCCCAGACACTTGAGAAGACTCCAAAGTTTTGTCAGCCTCACTGAATTTAAGGTCCTGATCACTGCTGATAACCAAAACTGGAGAGAAGGATTCTGCAGGCATTTGTTCAGGGTCCCATTTGTTCTGTTTCGGCCACGGGAATGAAAGATCCAGCTTCTTTCCAAACCTTAGTTTTGAATCACTTGCCACTGCACTACTCCCTTTCCCCTCATTACCTCCCTCAAATAGAGTTGACAACTTCTTAAAACTGGACATTAAACCAGTCTCTGCTGCCCTATTGCCAGAGGAGGAAGGCGAGGAAAAGAAAGAGCTCAGTGGTTTCCGATAGTCAGTAGCAGAGGATGGGAAATGGAGTTTTGGCCAATTGATCATGTTTGGGATTTCAAAATGAGGACTTGGCTGCTCCGTTTCCTTGGGGACTGCGGGTGGACCTTTCTGGGCATCAAGTATCCCATAGTTTTCTTTGGCACAAAGCACAGTTTCCTCCATCGGACAGTGAGAAAGGTACCCTTGGGTTTCCAGTGTGGCACTCTGGCCAACACTTGCCTCACTGAACACTGTAGTATTGGTTTCTAGTGAAGTGGTTGCCTGTAGCTCTAAGAAGTCTTGGTTTGTGGAGGCAGATTGCATATCTGGCTCTGGCTCAAGAGGAAGAGGTAGGTGAATTGGAGGAGGAAGCTCTTTGGCAATCCAGGTAGGTTCTGGATGCAACTGTGCTGGCAATGAGATATGCTCTGCTTCCAATGATGCCTCTGTGTCTGTACCCTGCAACATCCCCATGTCTCCTTCATCACTCAGAGACAAGACTCCTTGCCCAGTATTGTCCCCTGAGACAGAAGATGCAGTCTCAATTGTTTCAGAACGTTGGGGTTCTGGAATATTGTCAGGAATATTATTGTTTTCCATTTCAGTTGTTAGGTTAGGATCATCCGTCAAGGTCTCCGAGTCTGACTTTGCACTAACCACAGTCATTCTACAGTCACTGACTATAGCTTCTGAATTGAGTGCTCCAAAGGTAGCTTCTTTCCACAAATTTTCGGGAGGTACTGATTCTCCAGTATGTCTGGAACCACCATTTTGAAGCAATGCAGTAGCTGGAATAGATGATTCTTGTTTGTATGTCTCTGGTTTGGGACTTTTAAAAAGTCCAAATAACTCACCTTTGAGAGGCTGAGATGATGCACCAGAAGAAAAAGAGAAAAAGGAGTTTTTCTTTGGAGGTTTAGGAGAAGAGAAAAGCTCAGAGAAAGTTTTAGGAGGTTCAATTAAGGACCCAGAGAAAGACTTCACTTTGGTCACAAACCCTGAAAGCATTTCTACTGAAGATTCCAACATTGATTTGTCTTCCACTTTATCTGCATCTTGACTCTGGAGGTGCCCTGTACATCCTGGCTCCACAGAGGAAGAAGCTGGCTCCAGGATCTGTGTTAAGACCTCATCAGGGGCCTTTTCTAAGGGCAAGTTCAGTGGGTCACTAGTAAATCTTTCACTTTGGTGGTATGTAGTACATGTGTCAAAATGGTTGAGCTTTTCAACCAAATGGCTATCATGTGAAAAAGAGCTGGCTGGTGAGTTACTCAGAAAGGCTTCCTGTATGAAAGCCTCTTCTTCATGGGGAGATACCTCAAGGGTCTCTGGACCAATGAGCAGTGTTTCAGACTGTGCCTGAAATTGTGGTGAATGAGGAACAATGTCTTTTTGTGACTGACTTACCTGGAAATCTTTTAAAGATGTCCCTGGTCCATTACTGGAACCTAGTTTTCCTGGATAGTTGTTTTCTACATTGAACTCATCTGCAAGGGAGGTAACCTTAGTGGTGTTGCTAATGGAAACACAAGGAGCCATTTGCTGTTCATGAACTACCTCCGGGACTATGTTACCTCTAATGTCATTAGAATCTTCTCTAGTCATTGTATTACTCATGTCTACAAAAACACTTGGCTTCTTACAGGGCTGGGAAGTCACTGGAGCAACAGCTGAAAGGCTGTGTTTTTCCCCAGGAGTCTGCTGCTTTTCATCCAAAAAGGACAAGTTGAAGAAACTGAAAGAGCTATTAAGAGAGGTATTCTTCTTGCTGCTTGAGTTAGCAGTGGAAAAAAAGGAAGGAAGTGTGAATAGCCCTTCTCCTTGAGATGTGGTTCTTGGTAGAGTAGTAAAGGCTCTGTTCTCAGATTTTTCAGATCCAGTCAGGAAAGAAAATATACTCTTTCTGGTTGGTAATTCTGGTTGGGATGGAGATGTTGTGGCAGTTGAAAAACTCTGGTCTTTGTCAGAAAAATGATCTTGTTCATTTGAATTTCTTCTGCTCAGAATATCTAATGATATTTTATCACTTCTTGGAACTTCTGTCACTGTAGACACACCACTAGTCTCTACTGAAGAATCTCTGGAGGATTCTTTGAGACAACCTGTTGAGAAAGATGAATTTGGTGACTGGTAGAGTTGGTGGTCTCTGGAGGGTGCATCTTCGTCAGTCAAATGATCACCCTGGATCTCCCTAATTGATGGTTCCTTTAGCTCAC